CCCCACGCGAGCAGTGTATTAAAGCGAATGGAAGACATCATTATTGCATTGATAATACTTCTAACAGATAGGGACTTTGGTTAATCTTCTTAATTGAATTGGTTGCCACCATTGCAAATCATGAGCTTCTCTAGCCCCTCTGCTATTCTGGATGGACCCGGGGGGGCGGGGGGGCAGCCCCCAGACGTGGGGCCTGTGCTCTCCTTTGTTCTGCCGCCCTGGCCCCATTGACATGATTTTGCGGTCTCTGGTATAGTTGGAAGTAATCAGCTTTGTGACCTTGCTCGGGGTCTTAATGCTTGTGAGGCCCAGTGGCCTTGCCTTTAAAATGGTTCTAAAAGGCTTTGCAAGGACTGTTGAAGATCAGATGAGAAAACGCATGTAAAGGACACAGCACTGTGCTAGGCGCATAGGAGGTGCTCAGTGAATAAGAGCTGGGTGTCATCCCTGTTGTATCTGCTGATTAACAAGATACAACTCATACTGTAGAGCACCAAGGGGTGGGGCTTTTCTGCTTTAACAACATTTTGAGGAACATATCCTGAAATATTCAAACCAGTGTATCACTTGTATGATGGCACTGTTTTGGTGGGTGAGAAAGGCAGTTGAGGCTGCTTGGGCTGAAATGAAGGGAGCTGGACCTTCTGTCCAGGCAGGGCACACCTGTACATTCACCAACAGGCCTACTGACCAACAATCCCTGTCAAGGACAAGCAGGCTTCAGTGAGAATCCAGGTTCTCTGCCTGGATTGGCATTGGAGCCTTTTGAAAGGAGTCTTTCCTGTTTCCAGATAACATGGGCAGTCACAGGAGGGGGAACTTCCCTCATTATCCGAACACCCTCAGGAGATACCAGGCATCCTCAGGAAACTTCTGGTTTCCTTTTCAGCCTTATCCACTTGGGCACTTGACCTTTACGTAGTTGTAGCCATGCCATGTGCTGCATATATCTGATCTTGTATTCTGATTTTTAAAATCCATTTATGAAATCCATTCAGTGAAATCCATTCATTCATTCAATTACTTATTGAGTACCTGCTGTATTCCAGGCACAGTGCTGGGAGCTGGGATGTGATAGTGAGCTAAAGCCAGACTTGGTCTCTGCCCTTATGATGCTTCTAGTTGATGGGGGG